AGAGAGAGAGAGAGAGAGAGAGAGAGAGAGAGAGAGAGAGAGAGAGAGAGAGAGAGAGAGAGAGAGAGGGAGACGATAAGTCTCCAACCTTTGCCAATAGTTAAGTCTCAGCCCCACGGCTCGCCGCACGCTATTTAGATCGATAGAACGAGCAAATCAAAAAGTGGCAACGTATATTTCCCCGTTTCAGCAGAAGATTCATTCCGATTTGCTCATCCTATCGATGAAATGCGTGTGAGTGAGACGTTCATGATTCGACCAAGGAGAGAGGGAGAGAGAGAGAGAGAGAGAGAGAGAGAGAGAGAGAGAGAGAGAGAGAGAGAGAGAGAGAGAGAGAGAGATCGAGGAGAGAGAGAGATTGTGAGGCGCTTACCTACTCGCCGCTGGTTGCAATCGCAACAGTTGGGCGATCAGCCCGAACATAATGCACCAGACGAATATACATTCATTGTCTCTTATTATTATTATTATTATTATTATTATTATTATTATTATTATTATTATTATTACAGTAATTGGTATCGGCTACGTGTGTTGAATTGCCGGAAAGTGAGAATGGTAGCGCACGCAAGTAGAAGGATGGCTAGCGGAAGGCATACTAGATAGCGCATGGGGGTAAACAGGAAAGACGATGGGAGGAGCTGGAAAGGAGGTTGATGCGGTGAGGGAGAAAGCATATGAAGATGAAGAAGAAGAAACGCGTGAGAGTAGGAGAAGAAGAAGGAGAGGAAGAGAAAGGAAAGGAGGAAGCTCGCGGAATTGAGGTAAAGAAGAAGAAAAAGGACAGGAGCAGTCACAAGGAGGAGAAAAATACGACTAGAAAGGGAGTAAAGATGAGAGAAGAGAGGTAAGGACGAATGACAGAGCGGAGAAGATGGGTAAAGGCGCAGCACAGTGGAAGGAAGATGGTGACGTACGCAGACAAGGAAAGAGTGTGTGCACGGAGAGAGAGAGGGAGTAGGAGAAAGAGAATAGGCGAGCGGCATGACTAGCGCAGTAAGAGGAAGGAGGAACGAGCAAAGATGCGCGGTTGATGCACAGAGGAGGAAGTGACCAACACGCGGAAAACGAGAAGGATGATGATGATGATGATGTGAGGGCACATACTTGGTATTGGTGATGGTCTGCGTTGGTAACATCTCCAAGTACTTCGGACTGCCGCTGATGTCAACAGTTGCATTCTTAGTTGTAGGTTGTGGCAGTTGTGTAGGGAGTAGGCTAAGCGCCGAGTGACAGATAGGAAGGTAAGGCCTGAATACTCTTGTTAGTAATGGCAAGAGCAAGCTCTCACTAACATTGGTTTTCAGAGTTACGATTTGGTGCAATGCTACTCTCTGGACACTGTGATACTATCTGGCCTTCAAGGTGATGGTGTAATCTGAAATTGTCATCTCGCAGTTGCTTATTTTCCTTGCATTATTATTATTATTATTATTATTATTATTATTATTATTATTATTATTATTATTATTATTATTATTATTATTATTAGGTGCATGCTGGTACTGGGTGCAAGTAACAGTTGTGTGTTGGGGATCGGGGTTGTGAGAGATACGAAGGACATACCAGGTGCTTGACTTATGCGGCATTGGCTGATACCTG